TCAGCTATACCGTAGCTGTAGAGCGTTTGCACAGCAATGTGCCTGATTTGGATAATGTTGTGGTGCTCGCACTTTTGGTGTGTGGCGTGCAGGCGCCAGTGGTGCGAAAGTATAACATTAAGTGGCGTCAGTGCGCATTTACATGGATTGTTTGCTAAAACGCCCACTCCCCTGTCGCTACGGTTTGTGGTCAAATTGTTTTTCTGTTTGCTTTCACTGCATGCTTACATCTTACAATGTGACGATGGTAATCGGTCGTATGACAATATACGAGTACCTGCAGTGTAGTGAAAGCCGAAGAGATAGGCAATCAATCAAACAAAGAAGTGAATTCTAATAGTAGTATACTACAGTTAGAAAATATTTAAGTAGTATTATTTAAATATGTTTGTTTCGCAGCAACAATTAAACACACGTTAGGCGGAAATATCGTACGTTTCGAACGTATATACCTTAAGTATAAACAGTAAACTAGAAAAAATTTAAAGACTTGTTTCAAACTACATTAGAGTGTGATTTATATCCTGCTTTCAACAATTTTACACTATGTACACTAGCATGTGCTCTGGTGTTTCTGGTCTTTGGTAAAAACACCCTAAACTGTGCAAATGGCACCTCAGCCTGCAGTGACCTGTGTAAAATCCCATAAGCTGTCTTAATTTGTTTCTGAGAAGAATGATATCTGGAATCGTTTTGTATCAGACTGTCCCAGAAGCAGCCTTGCCTGTCAAAGTAAAGGCGCTTGTTGCGTTTCCTACCCGTTTCGCTTTCCGTAGCTTCTCTCGTAGAGGGTGGGTGCCCACAGCGAAGAACGGTACCGGTCCTATGGCACTGATTTCCGCAACTTCTCTTAACAGATTACCTCATTTCCATTGATACCTATATGCCAAGGGGATCCATGGTAATAAGATGTTATCTTCCGTGGCAAACGTGTTAAGTATTTCTATGCACTCCAATAACATTGTTGGTTTGATTTCAACATACGAGTGCCTGGAAAGATAGTAATGCAGTTCTATTGCTTATGTTCAAAAAAAAAATACACTTGTATCTATGCTTTAGGTTTTTCCATAATTCCATTATATAAGGTTGTGTCGTTACGGAGCGTGATTCCTCTATTTTAATCTATAATGTCAAAGTCAGCAGTTTTTGGGTTTTCTCATGATATTATTGTTTATATTTTGATGATTTTGTGTGTTTTATAATCTATTCGTATTCAGTCATTACTGTTATCACTCAAAAAATGCATTTTTATTGGTTTCATCATAGATGTAGATGACTCTCGCTTGTATACGAACTGTTAACGAACATAACTAATTCTTATCGAGCAGTTTCACAGAAACCATCCCTTCAGCTTGTTGCTTAAAACATGACCGCTTTTTAGTCGTATTAAAAAAACATCTCTACAATACACCGACGACGAACGAAATCCAACTCACTTTTATTTATGGACCGACTCAGACGACACAGCTCGCTGTGTCTATCTTTAGATTTCTTCGATAACAAGAAGACTTCCTTTACTCCAAACATGGTTTAACGAAAATTGGTTTTAAAGGTTTTAAAAAGTGTTTAATAGATTTAAGGTACATCACAAGGTCACAAGCTATTAAAGCAAAATAATGATTATAAATACGTCAGAAACATTAAATTTCAACCAAATTTCGTGCATAATATTACCCTGTCAAGTTTATTTTACTTTGTTAAAATGGAATCAAAATCAATCGGACTACATCGCACATCTTAAATTCCATCTGATTTTTACACTTTACTTTCATCTAAAAATTATCTAAATTGGATCATAACTTTTATGTGGACTTCAGTGCCTATGCTGACTTTTTACCGGAAAAATCGGTCAATGTATGAGATATATTAATATATTATTGAAATTCAGAGATAATACAAGTATTTTCTTGGTAATAGTGTGCTCTGCTGTCAAAACGTTTGAAATCAGTTCATACTTCCTCTTGCCTCCACATACTTCAAACTTCCGTTTGTCTTTAAACCGTCTATATTGGTCAATATGTGAGATACCATTTTGAAATTCAGTGCACGAATTACCCCAACTTCCAAATACTACATATGGAATAATGATTTTCAATATACTTGTGGAAATTATGCCAACTATGCCGAGGTCAATGTGTGAGTTATCTAATATAAATAGCGTAGAAACATGTTCTCAAGCTTACATCAGTTTAATGTTAATGTTAAAGGTAAATCTAACATAACCTTAACCTAATATACCCGATATAAGCATTTTCGACTTTCCACCTGACTTTAAACCATTTATCTTGGTCAATGCGTGTAATATTTTAATTCTGCACACAAATTATTTAACATTTATACGGATGGCTCGAAAGTGGAAGACGGAATTAGTGCTGGGATATTCTGTTCGGTTCAGAGGTTTTTGCTATGAGAAATCCGCGGAGCTAGCCTCTAATGCATCAAAAGGTAACTCTAGTGTTACATATACGTGGACAGCCAAGCAGTAATCAAGGCAATTCCCACTTTCCCCATATCAGCCAGGAGTGGTGTACGGCTTTCATCTGTAAACGTGACTGACATTGGTAAACACATGCATTGTGGCAATGCATGGCAATAAAGGTAAAACTGCAAAAATCATGTATGTATTGTATATAGCGGTAGATCAGAAATATACATAGTTTTTACTGGCACTTGTTAGAAGAGACTGTATGAACATGGTTGGAATGGTTACTAGTTACAGTCAGTTGGCGTCACACGCCTGCAGAATAGGGCTGACAGTTCGAAAGGACTGCAGAAAATGTCAAAAGCAAGCACCAAATAAACAATGGAGTATCTTATCACTTGTCCGGCATTGGCAAGACAACGCTTTAAAAATTTGGGGCCCCACAGTATGAGACACTGGAGGAGATATCGTTAGTGAGGCCATAGTACCTATTAAAGTTCGCGTCAAATGCTGGCATCCTACACTTTGCAAGATTGTAAAATGTTTGGTTACACCGCCTCTCTACTTGTTCACTATTCTGCGTAAAGGCACTCCCGCCGGCATAGCGAACTTTGATTTAAGTAATCGATTGACAGGCCTTAACTAGGGGAAAAAATAGCATTTACTCCGTAACTAATTCAATCATTAATTAGTAGACAATTTTGCAACTATTCAGTTATGAAATCACTTTAGTTTACTTGGTTCATTTGTAGAAATGGATGCTTGAACAGACTAGAGAAACATGCGACTGAATGAGAATTATTACTTCGGTTGGATCGATTTAAACAATTTTTCAAAATTCCATTCAAATATACCTAGAGAAATGCTAAAACGTTCATCATACATTTTTATTGGTCAAATATTAATGCATTAGGTATTAAATATTTTAGATGAAGCTACTTGGGGGTTAAGCTAACCTTATAATGACCAGAACACCTATTAACGTCACTAATCGTAGATGACTTCGCTGAATATTCCTAAAAAAATGGAAAACGTATTCAAATTTCGATAAGAATTTTGAAGTGACATACACAAAATATGTGATTTTGTTGAGAGATAATAAATTGCCAAAAACCCATTAATGAAACCAGTTTAATTGGAGGACAGTTATATATAAGCTACTAAAGCACCTATATTCTTTTTTCGATTCAATGTCGCATGATACTGCTATTTCGGAGATAAACTTAGATCTAGTTATTGTTGCCTATATTTGTTTTTAGTTTATATTCTTTATACAAACACTATTCAGTGTAGATAGTAACTGAGAGAGGGGGGAGATCGGTGACAATTCCTCCCGGGCAAGGAGTTCTCAGGGCGGTTCGGTGCTCTATAAAAGTTTGTTTGCAGAATTTTTCCAACAATTGATGGATTAGGTGTCCTGATTGTACAGTTATTTAAATTTATCTTTCTACATGTGGGAAACAGGTGTATATTGTTTCTTTAAATGAACGTTACTAATGTAGTTATAAGCTTTTTAAGAAAAATAATGATAATGGTGAGTTAGAGATCATTTTCGTTGGCATAGTTAAATAAATTCGTCTTTCCATGTTTTTCATGTTATACATATATTGCAGTACAGATCCAGATACCTTACACTAGCGTGAAATACAAAAAAAAGATATTGGATAAAACAAGTAAGGAAGAAGGAAAATTTCATACTCTTGCAACTTGCAAGGATCAAAGCCGGCTAAATATCTTCAGGTATTGGTAATATTAAAAAATGTAGCGAAAGGATTTAACGAGGGTTCGTCGAAATCGTGAAGGGATTACAATAAAATTTGGTATCATAAAGGGTTTTCATAAGAATAGTATGATATGATTTAAAAACACACTAATTGTTAAGAAAATTCAAATGTTTTTATTTAATGTGAAGTACAATCGATACAATTAAGTTGTGAATATAACATCATTCAAATGGCCTTTACGACTTCTTTTGCAAGAACGAATTCGGTGAACGCAATTTTCGAGTACTTTTTCCACTAAATCAGGTCATGTGTCATTAATAGCACGGTTAATATTGACTGCTAAAGTTTGAAGAGAGTCTAGTTTATTGCAAAAGAGCAATGACTTCAAATAACCCGGTTATTTGATATTGCGGCCATAATAGGTTGGTTATCATCGATTTATACCGCTCTCCATTGACAGCCTCATTTCGAATGATGTACGAACCGATGATTCCACCAGACCAACAACCACACCAAACTGTCAATTTAGGTGAATATAATGGTTGTTCATGAATAATTTGTAGATTTTCTTCGCACCAACAATTCGATTTGAAAACATATCATCCTTTTTGGAAAACCCGATATTAACTTATTTTGAAAGTCATAGACTCACTTAGTTTTGTTACTATATTTTACTTCGAAAACTATACTAAAATCAAGTGGGGTTAAGAAATCGAAGGGCAGTTTTCATTAATTTTTGCCATTGCTAAGGTATACTTCAGAACTTATTTTCATGCAATTTTATAAATATTATAATGTTTTGTATACTGAAAAGTGAAAAAAAAGATGGAATTTAAAATTGTAAAATGAAATACCTTGCAGGCCATATCTGTTCAAAGTTCTATCCGGATATTGGTACTTGATTTGTATACTGAAAAGTGAAAAAAATCAGATGAAATTTAAAATTGTGTTTTATGGAAAGTAGGCGTTTTTTTTTGTCTGATTTCGCCTATTTTCACAATATAGTGTAAGAATGTCAGGATAATACTAAATACCGAATTTGGTTAAAATCGGTAGAGTAGTTCCATCTACGAACACGTCCTTTCTTTTTTGCCAAGGAACACGTGTACAACAGACACTTATCCGGATTTCAACTCATCTCGTTATCCTGATCTTTTATATATATATAGGTATATAATCCTACAATATATCTAACTCGATTATTTTTAGATGATACAAGCAACCGTTAGGTGAACAAACCCATTATGTAGCAACATGTTTCAAGAGTATAAAAGGGCTAAAATCAAGTATAGAAGGGCTAAGTTCGGGTTGAACCCAACATTTTATTCTCTTGCTACTGACAAGGATCTAAGCCAGGGAAACACATTCAGGTGTTGGCAAAACTTTATACTAAACTAATAATTTCATTGATGTTTTGATAGAATTTAAAAGTTTATCATATGGGAACTGGGCGTGGTTGTCATCCGATTTAGCCCATTTTCACGATAAACTTGAAATGGGTAACAGGACACAGTGATATCCCCGAGAACTGTGTAGCAGATGAACTAGCCAGAACAGACTCCACCCTACAACTACTTGTAGATCCTGTTAAGGAGAACATATATATGCCTCTGGCTACTTGTAGATACTTAATCGACAAGCATGTCATAACCATAGCATAGTCTCAGTGGGATCAGTTCCTGACTTGCTTAACAAGTAGGCAAACGTGGCATGAATGAAACATGAGCCGCACATGCCGACTGTTAAAATTCAAACGGAATGATGTAAGAACTCTAGTAGTAGTACTATCAGGCCACTGAGAAGCTGTCAGAAGGTAGAAGAGAAGGATACCATTAAACATCTTCTATGCGATTGCACGGCTCTATATAGGAAAAGAATCGCAACCATCGGTCGAGGGTTTTTCGACTTCGTCTCGGATACTGCATGGATAAAACTGGTCTCACTGATGAAGTTGATCAGAAGTACGGGGTGGTTCAGAGAGGAGCCAATAGATTGACCTTAGTTCCGGTGGTATCACAATGGGCCTCTACCCACCTACCTACCTAGCCTATTTTCATAGAGGATAGGAAGAGTTCAGCACCATTTTTTTTACCTAGATTTAGTCTCCGTTTCGACCAACACTAAAAAGTTTTTATGCACAAGAAAGGCTTTTAATAAAATATATCTAAAAGTTGTGGTTTCTTCATTTGTACACCTTGTCTGCTTGAGTCACCACCGGGTTAGAGATAATGATTATCGGTTTTGTAATAATTTTAAACGCTCAGAAGTATTAGCATTATAATATTTTCGGGTGTTTTGAAGATTAAGGGAATGCCTGAAGTGAAGCTTTCTATCACAAGCTTTTACTGCATATATTTAGCAGCCTGACGACGAGTTCTTTGAAATAATCTGTATGTTACACCGAACAATCATAAAAAATATTTGAACTAGGTTCAGTATTTTTACTATTTTGTTGAACAACACAATTTCGTTGTAGCCGTTCTACTTTATTTCATCTAAAATTGAAAAATAAATGAAAATTTTAAAATTAGCAAAAAAACAAGATAAAACGTGAACTTTGGCTGCACGGAATATATACCTTTCACAGGGGTATATTTTATAGCAGAAAAAGGTATAAAAAATGTTTTACTGATTTTGATCGTTCAGTTTGTATGACAAATGTATGGTATAATTATCGGATCTAAAAAATTTGTTAGAGGATTGTAGCGCTAATTTGGAAAATAAACTGTGTTTCGTAAATATATATCGTTAAATGAAAAACTTTTCAATACAAGGACTTGATTTTGATCGTTCATTTTGTATATTAGCTATATGTTATATTGGTCCGATATCATCGGTTCCAGGTGCAACCGAACATGTTACTGCCGAGTATAATAGTTTTGTTCACCTATCGGTTGTTTGTATCACCTTAAAATAATCGAGTTAGATATAGGGTTATACATACATAAATGATCAGGATGAAGAGACGTGTTAAAATCCGGGTGACTGTCCTTCCGTCCTTCCGTTCGTCCGTCTGTTGAAACTGTAAATTAAGTAAAACTTTAGATATCTTGATGAAACTTGGCACACATGTTTCTCGGCACCATAAGAAGGTTGGTACTGTAGATGTAATCGGACCACTACCATGCCCACAACACGCCATTAATCGTAAACCAATAAATCGACCTCACTAAACTCCGCAATAAGAAGCAAGACTATTATTTGGTACAACGAATCGAATTAGGTTGACACATCTTAGTTTAAATGTGGGCGTAGCCTCGCCCTCTAATAGGTTTATTGTGCATGGCCTCCACCACTACTAAACCACTGAAGCTATAATAACCAAATTCACTCAGGACAAATCTTTCTAGCACCCCTACCGACAATGTGCAACAGGGTGAAATCGAATGATAACCGCTCACTCCCCATATAACGGTATGGATTAAAAGTCAGAGGCATTGAATTTTACATATAAGATGGTAGAATTAAGGTTTATAGGAGCCAATAAAAAAATTGGACAATAGGCGCCACGCCCCCCACTTTTAGGCGAAAACCCATATCTCGGGATTTATTGACCGATTTCAAATTTGGTAAGTAACATCATCCTGACATGCCTATGCCAAAATGCAAAAATGGGCGAAATCGGATTACAACCACGCCTACTTCCCATATAACACAAACTTTAATTCCATCTGATTTTTTGACTTTCTAGCAGACAAATCAAGCACTAACGAATATATTGAAAAATTTGCAAAAAGAGTGTCTTCAAAGTATGCCATATCAAGTATAAAAATTGGGCTATAACTGTTCAAGCCTCCATATACCGAAGATGTGGACCTCAGTGTTCATAATTGACTTTTTACCAAAATTATCGTTCAATGCATGAGATATATAAATGAAATGCGGAGGGAATATTTTCCTGATAATAATTTGTGTGTGTTCAAAAATGGATTGATTCAGGTCAATACTTCTCTCAGTCCCCATATACAATACCTAATAGAAAGATATTCGAGCCTCTATATACCATAACTAATATCAGGATTTTCAAACATCCGGTTGACTTTACTCCTTATATATTAGTGATGGTAAGTGAGGTACTTAAATGAAACACACAGAGTATTTTTTCCGTTAGCAATATGTAGTAATGCCAAAAATAGATAAAATCGGGTCAATACTACCCCTATCTCCATATGTACATAAAATGATTTTGGTTACTTTTACAAACCTTAAGCCGAATATATCGGTCAGTGTGTGAGTTATTTACTTATAAAATTGCTTGAAAATATGTTCTCGAGTATAATTCAACAATGCCAAATATTAATGCAACAAGCTCAGACCTTTCTCTGCCTACAATATACCCTGTTTAGTGATTTCTAACTTTATAGCTGACTATAAACCGTTTAAGTTGGTTAAAATGTGTGATATTTTAATGAAATTAAGTGTACAACTTTTGTTAAAAATTATATTATTGATTTAGCGCTGAAAATGTAAGGATTTTGTGTAAACCTTGGTATAAACCTCATATCCCTAATATAATTAATTCCCATCCTTTGGTTGACATATTCCACATCATCTCAATATAGTAAATTTTAAGATATTTCTTATATAATTTTAGCTGACGCTAAGTAAAATATAACAATAAAAAGTAATTCTAAGACCTATAATATAAGTTAATAAAATACCAAATTGTATGGTAATCCATTCAGGATTTCATCGATTATAGGATTATAGAATGCACCAAGGATCGAACGCTTGGAAATATTTTCAGGTGTTGATAAACTTTATATTATCACAATGTTGCAGTGAATTCAATATTCGTTATTCTACAAATTGTGAAGGAATAATATCAATATTTGTTATCTTATTAACTTATAATATAGTTCATGGTCTCACCTAACTTTTTAACGACATTTTGTTTTGTATCGTAAATATTTATATTAATATCAACCTAACTAACACCAATCACATTATTCACATACATATATTTTCCTATATACCTATGTCATAAAAAGTATAAAGTCAATCCAAAAGACGAAAATCACGATCTTGAGTATATTGCTTCTAGGGGAAGGTTTGAATTGATTTCATTTAAATTTGGCACTAAACTAAATTATGCTGAGAAAAATATTTAAACGCAATACTTTTAAGATAGCTCACACATTGGACCAATATGCATATTTGCCATAAAATCCACTAGAATAACGAAAATAGGTATTGTAAAATATTAAGTAACAAACAACAGTATATTTAAAAAATATTATATTATACAGTATCTATGAACTTTAAATGTTAACAAAAAATATATCCACATTCGACCATTTTTAGACAAGAAATGCCGAACTTTCGTACTTTTAGAGCACCACTTGTGTAAAGTTTATACCGATATCTTCATTGGTTGGTGCGTGTGAATATTTTTATATTGTAAAGTGAAAGAGTCTCATTGAATCGGTGCACGAGAGAGGGGGATATTGGGGACAATTCCTTCCAGGCCCGGATTTCTCAGGAAGATCTGGCGCTCTGCAACAGGTTTTTTGCAGATTTTTTTCTCCAACAATTCACTGCAATCATCAACGAAACCTGGTTTTCTCCATACGACCTTACATAGCATTTAAGATTGTGTATTAAGTTTTTAAAAAAAAACTTATTCTCGTTGTGGAAACTAAGGTTTATTATTATTTTTCTTTTAATATATACACAGTTGAATAAATGGAGTTCCAAAAACGCATGTGCATTATAATTATTGTTAATCCGCGATTTAGTTTGAAAAAGTTTGCAGCTTTTCTGTCCGAATCTACATAGATACCTATCATGTACACACGTGTATAGTGCACAAGCACCGTGCCTTACTCTCTATGGAACGGTCATCCAGAGGTAAAATCCTGCGTCTCTAATCCAACAATAACAAAAAGAAATACGCTAATAGCCACAATTGTGCAGTCTTGTGGAGCTGGCTGAAGCCATATCCACGCACACACATAAGAGAACGTTTCCCCGCATAGATAACTTGATATCATTTTACAGCAGGAGAAACATTTGGCACCAGATCAGCACGACAGAATCGTCTGTCCACACACAATGCTCACTGCACAATCGCATAAATAAAAATCCAAAGCATTCATACAACTGTACACACATATCCTTATTTGTAAGTATGTTTGCATACTTTAGTGCACTTGTGTGTTGCTGCGCGTGTGCGTATGTGTAGGTGTGTGCACACGTGTGTCACACACAATCGCCATTTGTTTCTTTGGTCGGTTTTGGTGTGAAGCGCGCGCGTGCTTTTTTCACCGTTGTTGACTCTGATACCAACCCACAAACCTACAACCCGAAGCTGAACGCAATTTTATGCGCCCTCCTCCATCTTAACGACACTACTTATAAATACCAAAAAACGACAAACGATGGTTGACTGCCTGCCTGCCATTGCTGCCACCTACTACTTTTGCCACTTGTTTTTGCTTTTTGGCATTATTGTTGTCAGCGTTGTTGTTGTTTTGTTGGCGTCCTTATAACAGTCGTGCCGAGACTATATTGCCGCAGTCGTCTTGCATTGAAGTCGCCTCTTCCCTTGTTTTGTGTTTTGCGTTTTATTTTTTATTTTTTTTCTTATTTGGTTTTTGCCTCGTTGGCCTGTTTGTTCATTCATCCGGGGCTTCGTCTGCAGTTGAACAGCGTAGTTGTTAAGCAAAGCAGCCAGCAATCGTTGACAGTTTAAACGTGCGAACAACCCACCTCATCACAGCCCACAACGAACGGACCGACCGTTTCTACGCGTCCGACCAAATGACTATAACCACAGTGGGATACAATGTAACGGTATTTCTGCAAAATGCAAAAACGTAATATTTTTTAATTTGTCACAAAGTGTTTAATCAAATCTTTAATAAATAAATTAAAATCGACATTATATGTTGCGTAAGGTATGTATATCGCAAGAGAAATTTACTATCGAATATTATTGTTACACCATGTCAGAGGCACAATTAATGATACCCAGCAAGCCACCTATCGGTTAATTCACCGTTTAATTACACAAAAGCGCTAACCGCGATTTAAAGCCCATTTGACATTTCTAACCGAAACTCTTATGTGTGTGTGTTTTGTTATATTAGTCCCTGCCTTCACCAACACCAATTTTATGACCGAATAATGATCTATCAGTAAAACTGATTTTAAAACTGATAAAGATATATACAGGGGTGTTGTAGAATGTAATAATTGTCGGAATCAGAATTGAAGCCGATAAAAAAATGTAATAGGTGTCATGAATTCCGATATTATTGATTTGATGTTCGAAACAGAAATTCTATCGGTTTTGGGAGTCGCAGAAGAATCAAAGCAAGAAGATAGTCGTAACTGATTTTAAATGTAAATTCAGAAATTAAGTTATTTTATTGATACAAATTAACTTATCTTTATTTCTATAGGGAAAAACATAAAAATAGAACACAAAATGCCATAATTATTAAGTTTATGGTAAAAATCCAGATATTTTAAGAGGTTTTACAAAAACGTAATTCAACACAATAACAAAAGCGTTTCTATTTAGACGATAATGTGATATAAATCTGTAAAGTAAGGATGCAAGTATACAAATAATTGTACCGTTCCCACGACAGTCGTGTCTAAGTATCCGGAACGGACCCAGATTTTTATCCGAGCAAGGACTGTAAACTCGGCACTATTCCTCGAAACTACTTCAGAAATGTTCTCTGTCGCTACAGCAAGAACAACAACAAGTAAATGCAAGCTAATTTTCACTTACGATTCACCTTGGCGCATTTAATTCCTCAAATAAAAACAAGGCGGAACTCATTGTAAACTTTAATAGACTTTATTCAATATTTTAAATTTATCATATTAGTAAACAGCTTATTCGAATATCGGTTTTATATATGTATGTTCGAAAAGACGAAAATTAAATAAGACTCTGTTACACTATTGAAAATCATAATTGGTTTGCAATTCTGACAACTATGCAAATCTGTCTTGGTTTTCACAACACCCCTGATAGTGATTAAACTGTGTGTGCACATTATACTACAAGTTTATGCAATGCCGATATGGGGCAATCGGTTGACAATTTTGAATAATAACGAATGTTTATTTCATACACAACATTTTTATAGGGTCTAGCAGACACCCGGTAACACTATGAACACCTTCACCTCTTACAATAGAATATATAATAATTAATAGAGGCTGTATAATGTTTGATTGTTTCTATAATTTTGAACGGTACTTCAATTGGGAATTGAACCGTTGACCCACCGATTGGTAGTTCTGCACTCTTTATCATGTAGTCTATGGACATAGTTGAAAATATAACAAATATTAATTGAGTTTTAACCACTGTACGCATTTTCCACAGCCATAACACGCCATCTTTCTTCAACTCTCCTGATCAGCAAAGCAGTCAGGCAACCAACCATTCATTTGACAGACTATCAGTTCGTCCGTTTCTCATACCAAACGAATTAGGCGCCCAACCACCCTCAGTTCACGCGCCCAGTAAAACTCAAACACACGCTTCTACACACACAACGTGCATGCAATTCATTCAATTGCCTCGCCGACATTTTCCGTCACGCGGCAATGTTGCCTTATGGCTTGAGTGTCGGCAGCCAGCAGTCGACAGTCGACACAACATTAGCATTGAAGTGCGCCAGCAGTTCGCCCACGTGTGCAAATGAACGCACAGCCAAACTCATTCATTACAAGACACAAGCACACAAACCACATAAAGGCACGTTGCTGGCAAACAACAAACGAGCGCCAACAGACCAACACACGCACGCACACACACACACAGCAACTAACACCCACTTGTCCATCAAACATACACATTTACTCGCCCATTTATATGTATGTTTGTATATGTGCACGCTCATATAACTGAAACGCCACGCACAGACGTCAGCTACACAAATTTCACATTTTTTTTCACACTCCATTCTTTACCCTTCGTCGCATACCGGACTCCGACCGCACTTCCTTTGATTTAGTCATTTTTCTCTCTGGCACTCTGGCAGCATTTGGTGCATTCAATGCCCCGGCCGTTGCGGCAAAATGTATCTCCCCACGTTTTTCCTGTGGGGATCTTTTATTCGATTTTGTAGGTTTATTTTATTTTTTCTTTCTTGCCGTGCCATGCCATGCCGCATATTTCTACAGTCGCCGCCAACCCCACCGTCGCATAACTTTCTTTCTGCCCTTACAAATGTTTCCAACTTTTTTGCTGTTTGCTTTTATTTTTTGCTGATATTTTCTTATTTTTTGCCTTTTTTGTTGGTTGGCACTTTTTTGCTCCTCATACAAAGCAAAGTCTTTTTTCGCTATTTTACATGCACAAGTAATGATGCTACAATTCAAACTTTGGTCTGCTCACTTTGTTTTAAAATACAAAGAACTTTAAAACGCGAACTGCGCTCAAGCGCTTCCCGAAAAAAATAACATCGCAGATACTGAAGTTGACGATACTACACTTCTGACCTAAAGTACTTGATACTACAAGTATATACGCGGTGTGTTCAATTTTTGAAATTTTTACGGAATTTTCGTTTCCAAAAAAAAAATATCTATTCATTTGTCTACTTTAATGTTGATAATAGGCCCCATTCGATACTATGCACTTATGCCAGCGCTTCTTCCAATCGTTGAAAAAATTCTCAACCTCGATTTTGGGGACGACCGTTTAAGGCTTTCTTTATTTTTGGAAATGGGAAAAAATCACACGGAGCCATTTCTGGCGAATACGGAGGCTGGGATATCGTTACAGTATTGTTTTTGGCCAAGAATTCACAAACAAATTCTTTTAACAAATGAAAATCGCCAAGCTCATAAAAACACGTCTAACCTTAGCGGTTGCTACAGACAAAGTACGTAATAAATACTGCTGAAATTTGTATCGTTCTTCAGAAACATCGCGCACTGCGTCCAATATTCGGTCGACAATCGCGCAGCAGAGTCGATAATTCGAAAAACCTTGGATCGGTTTTGCACGATGCTTACTCTAGTGGATAATGCGCAAACTTAGAGACTCCGTAGAATAAGCACCGAAGACGCTATTGCTGTTGTGAAGCTGACATCGAAGAAGACCTGAAAGAGACTGCCCGCCATCGCGCGCAACAATTGGAGCTGTGCCCAATGGAAGTATCTTGGTTTGCGATCATCAAGTGTGTCGCACTACCGAAATGACCATAGACTCCGATTTTGACCGAAAAATATTGGTTAGTAGCAATGAAGCTCACTTTCGATTGAATAGGCGAGCATTGTCACCAAGGCCGTGTGTAGCGCGCAACTGTTAGCTGCAGCAGTGTGCTAAACTTTTGCTTTATTTGTTGCGGTACTTTGGTTGTTATCGTAGCGTGTGCCTCGATGCCTGACATTGCGGCACATGGCTCATGGTAAATGGTAGTCAAGTTGAGTTGAGACGAGTCGTTTGCTAAAGCTTAACATCATAGTCGCGATCGGCGGTCGGCGGTCGGTGGCCTGTGTATTCGGCGGTTGTTGCTTACCTACTTTCTGGCTACGTGCACAGTTGGTTGAATGGTTAGATGGCTGCATGCTTGGATGGTTTGGATGGCAGTCTAGTGAGCTGTTGGCTGTTGGCTGCTGTTTTCACTGACTTTTGTTTTTGTTGTTGTTGTTGTTGTTTTCATTGTTGGCATTATTGCTAGTGGCGGTTATGGGGATGGTGTTATGTTTGCTGTTTTCATCCCAGAACGCCACTTTCAGATGTGAAGTCGTTCAAGTCGGTAAATTGAAGGCGGAACAACAAGGAGCGCAAGGACGGAAAGAGGTTAACACCGGGGAGGCCAAAGTGCGCGCGGGTTCTAAATTATACGCTATGATTGTGGCAAGGGATGTACAATTTGTGTGTGCGCACGCCAATGCCTTTAGTCATGTTTGCTTGTGTGTGATCTGTGAAGCTCGTGTGTCTATGTTTATGTGCATTGTAAGCTCGACTAAGCAGCACTTGGCAGGCAAGCAGTCAGCTTGCGCATCCGTTTGCCGTTTTTGCTGTTAGATTGCATGCAATGTGCCTACGCTTGTGTTGCCCCGCTGCTATGTTTGCCACTTGGTTGAACGTGGGTAGTGCTTATGGATGCGGGTGGTCGGGCCGCAGACGAGCAAGTTGATGGCGGATTGTTGAGGTACTTGGCTCGTGCGACACCGTCTGTGTACTCGACTCTACGGACATTCAAACATGCATATGAATGAGCGTTTGTGTGTGCATTGCTGTGCGAGTTTGTGTGCGCGTGTATTTGGCTTGTGCGGAATAATGTATGTGTTCAATGCGGACGGCGTGTCGGCTGGCCTCTGTAGTATCTCTCTACCAATAAATATGTATATGTGTGTGTTTGCGGTATAGGTCGTAGCCACTGGCAGTGTGCGCCAGTTACTCACAATTTTCACCGACCCGTCTTTTTATGTCACACCCGGCTTTTGGTCGACGGTCGGCCGTCGACTCAAAACAGTAGCGATGATGGCAAGCAGCCTGGTCTTTTTGGGATGCACAAGTATTGGCGCGCACGTCATACATCAAGGGGCGGCATACGCAAGCAAGGGTAGTTTAACAAGACTATATGGATATGCACATATATATGTACGTATAAGCATATAGGTTGGGTTGGTAGACGGGTGGAATGGTGAGACAGTGAGTCGGTCAATTGAATGGGTTTTGTCGGCTACGTTTTGATATGCGTCGGTTTGGTTTGGTCAGGTTAGTCCGTTGATTTCTTTCGGTTTGGGTCGGCTTGTCATTATAGGTATGAATGTATATATGCTACATACATACATATGTACATGTTATACGGTTGGTTGGGTTGTAGGCGCGACGATAGCGACTAAAACCAAAGAAGCGTCAGGCGTTGAAGGGAAAGCAGAGAAATACATTTGAGTACACACGCCAAGGGAATTCCACCCTGACACCAAGAGCTCAACAAGCAGCGGCGGCAAATAACGTAAACGGCAATTTTAGCTACGAAGGTGTCGGAGGCGAGGAAACAGAAGGAACGTACATAGACGCAGACGAAACTTTAGCAGCAATTGTAAAAACTACCATACCATAATGTGTGTATGGCCATGTGTTAGACAGTGTGAATCGCAGATCCGCAATGTTGACGTTGTTTTTTTCTCTAAACGCCGTTCTGCGTTGTTATAAATTTGAACGGATGTATGTACAAGTACATACACGTACACACATATGCGAATAGGTGGGCTCTAGTGTAAGCGGTTGACGAGCCACACGACATCTCTGGAGCCCAGCAGTCGACGCACATTGTATTATTTGTCTTTAAAGTCAGTTGATATATGCCAAGTGATGCTGTTTGTGAGGGCGTTGGGCTAGTTTGGCAAACATTGTGCGAAAAGATGCGATTCTATCACGAATTACATTATAAAATGCTAAACTATTAAGGCAACTAAGTGTTTTAAAGATTAATACAATGAATGACATTGGGTATATCGCTTTAAACGAATGCATTTATCAATTGGCATTACTTGTCTTTTGCTGACGAATCGGAGACATACATACATCAAACTACTATACGTAGCTAATCTTTGTAGTCATATTGCAATTTTAGTGCCAGACGTTGTACATCACATACGTCATCATCATCCTCTTCACCGTGTTGGCGGTGCTCTCGTTTTGTTGAACAACGCCGATGTTGGTGTCAGGTCGTAAGTCGATGGCATAGTCGTTGCGTCGTCGTGGTTTTGCACGGGCTTTAAGTCCCAACGGTTGCCGCCCAAACGCCCCAGTGGCACAGCCGCGTGCACACAACTTGCCACAACCAGTCAACCAAGGAACCAACCAACAAACTGGCGAATGTTGCCATTACTTGGCGTTGGCGCATGTTGCTACAGCTACTGCTACTGGCATTGCTCGCGCCATTCTTGTATTTGTTGTTGTTGTTATACTCGTTTCTGTTGTTTTGCTGGTGGTTAGCTGACTCCAATCTGCCGCACTCAGCTCAGCTCAACTCAACTGAACTGAACTGAACTCGAGTCGACTCGGTATGCGACATGCGGCATAGCATGCTACTGTTGTGATTCGCTTCGACACACATGTATACACATACATACATACATACGTGCACATGAATATATGTATGTTTGTACGTAGGGCATCGTCGTCGCAGCCGTCGGCGCGGCCAGGATATTTAGAAAAGCACCAAGGATAATGATTCAGTTTTGATTTAAATTCTGTTAGTTCGTCGTGCGACGTCTTGGCGTGTGGACGCTTCGATACGTTTTCGTTTCGCCTCGTTCGAATTTGCTTATTTTTCGTGGTTAACATCGTTTAGCGAAACATTCCATTTGAACGCATTGTGCTTAAAGCAATTTAACACATCCACGTTATCGTCAGCACCGTCGCTGACACAGTGCTAGTGAGACTGCAGACGTAATTGTCGTTTGTGTCTGGCCTCAATGCGAGGTATGGTGTAGTTGTGCGGGTGGTAGAATTTAATTGTAGCCTACAAGTTTGTTTAAAACACACGAGTCAGCGCGCTTTCAATTTCGTTGTGTTTAACTTGCGACGGTTGTTCGCCTTCAATGCATACGCACTTGTAGAGTACTCGGATTGTGACATTGCTATTTCCGCACAAACTTAAGTCGGCAAAGACAAAGTGACGCTGTCTTTGATAGCCACTTGCCTTGTGTGTTAATGGACTAAGTGGATTCTTAACAGTGAGGTGATCATGTGTACCGTGCACGCTTCTGCAACATTTCGTTTCTCTGTTTAGTTACGGATACGCGGGGCTTTTCGGCAAACATGACAATATGACAGCAAAACGCGACAAGGATTATGCTAAAAGTAAAACATCAACTGGTAATAAGAGTTTAATAGTGTGTGAAAATTTTTGTTTTCTAAGAACAAAATTGCAGTGATTTATAACGGACTGATCGATTATAATTTGTTTGTTGCACTCGTAAAATTATGGATTAAGACCTCAAGAATATAACGATCTACCCAAGTGTATTGCATTCTTGATTTGAAATGGTATCCGGTAAGACCATTATTTATACCCTGAACAGAAATATATCCACAAAGTGTGTAACCCCCGAAAAAAAATCTCGGAGACCGTACAAAATATATACTTACAAGTATACAGCGTGACAAGCTGAGTCGATTTAGCTATAATATGTTCGTCTGTCTGTCTGTCTGTATGTATATACGCGAACTAGTCCCTCAGTTTTTAAGAAATTGGTCTGCAATTTTGCACACGTCCTTTTCTCCATCGAACCACTATGGCATATAGCTGCCATACAAACTGAACGATCGTAATCAAGTGCTTGTATGGAAAACCTTTTAATTTGAGAAGATATTTTCACGAAATTTGGCATGGAATAATGTTTAAGTCAACGGTGCAGTCTCCGAACACTCCGAACCTCACCATTCCATAGCATACAAATTTTTAACATACATAAGTCGGATTGAGGTGATAAATAGGCTAAAATTGTTATTGATGCGTTAAGACTGTTATATTCGCCTAAGAAACTCTGTCTTAAGACAGACTTATATATGTATATAACTATTTAACTAGGTAAAGACCTAGTGTGACAACCAAAAAAAGATGATTTTTTAGAATTAAAAAAAAAAGTACTCTATCAATTGTTTTAAAGTTTAAGGGTATATTTAAGGCAACACAGTAAAATTTTTGATGAAAAAATTCAATATTTTGGCCGTGTCCTAAACAAAAAATACTCTACTAGAAGATATTATCCGCACGAATATATATAATCTACATTCTATTAGATAACACTGTCTGATTTAAATGTTAGAAGAGTTTTAGACATGGCATAATCTGGAGAAATATCAACTAAAAACATGACAACATACCTTGAAATAACTGAAGACTTATATACATATTATAGAGACTACAACTGTTTCATTCCGTTACTTTTTCTAGAGTGCCCTTTACATAAAATAAGGTTAACTTCTGACGTCGGCTATGAAAGTTTCATAGTTCGCTGGGTATATAAGTAATCGTTTCTCTGTTGTTCATGAATTACCTTTCACCTATATACAATAGTGTTTTTAGAATATAGACCAAATCCATCTATTCGATGTCGATCAATAATTAGTAGACTCAACAAAGTTCGAACCGACTCCCAAAAACAGATCTAACTCTATTTATTTTTATTGTTTTCCTCAATAGCCATTTAGACTCCACACACAAGAGAACTTCATGTTGACGTTCAGTTTGTATGGCAGCTACATATTTGCAATTGTGGTCCCAATAGTTGTTCAATATTTAGCTTCAAAGAACACAAAAAACATGTGTTTTACTTTGTAGAATTTTACTTGTACAATAGAATTTATCGTCTCGCCATTCCCGATTAAAAAAACCGAACATTTTAATCCTCTAGTAGTCAAATATTCAATTTTTATAAGTTATTGGCATCAATGATAAGTGTAGTTTTATTTGAGATTTCCCATCTACAAAACACTGGATGTCTTTCACTCAAATAACTGGTATACCGTCGGTGTCTTTTATTAAATCTCGCTTCTTAATTCATTTAGTGTAGTTCCTAATAAGGATTAGTGGCTTTTGATTCCTCACAATCTATGGAATCTGAAGTTGCGTTCTGAAGATACCGACTTGCAAAAAAGAGTCCGCTCTTTGACATATCTTGAATATATCTTATTATTCATCGGGTTATTGGTAAAATAATTTTAAATAATGAAAGTTCAATGTACAGAATGCCACTTGGCAAATGTGTAACGGATATATGTATGGATATTTGTATATAAAATATTATAAATTTATTTGTTTAAAAATTGGAGAATCAAATTATAAATACGCGAGGACATATATATATACATATGTATAAAAAAAAATTAAAACAAATGTCTTTTAATCAAATCATCACTTTTTTTAATTGAGTTATCGAACGGGCACAGTATAACGTGTGTAAATAAACTGTTGTCAAAAATAGTTACACCTTTTTTTAGAATGCAAAAAATACGTTATGTGGCCACGACTAATTCAATGTCTTCTGTATGTATTTACTTACTGCCATTTAAAGCCAATGCACTTCACTTTTGGATTATAACTTTCTCTGTACTCAAATTTACCCAGAACCGGAGGCGAATCGTCAAAAAACAACTTGTCGGTAGCAATTTTTTGTTAATGTCCAAAAGTCAAATTTTTTAGAGACAGAAATGGAAAAACCTTTGAATTTTCAGAAAATTTTATTATGTTTCAAAAAAACAATATTTGAAAAAATATATGATAAACGAGTTTAACACTTGGCAAATCACAAAACAAAACATTTTTATACATATACTTTTGATACTTGAAAATAAAAACCGTGTCTTATTCTCTTATAACAAGATACAATTTTTATTAAATATGAATATAAATCGTTTATGAGAATTAAAAAAAAAAAATATATATACATGCATTTTCATCCATCCATTAATGTTATATCATACAAATTTATACAGACCTCACATAAAAAATGGATACAGTAAAGCCTGAACTTATATATATTCGAACATCGAATTGCATATTAGTCTTCCAGAGATAAACTATAATATTTCGAAGTAAAAGTTTTAGCAACCCCTCACTCAATAAAAAATCTGTTCAAAGTTAGGATTTGGAGTGAAATCTAATAATAATACCAAATTTCGATTTTTATTGTGTTTAAGAATTCTTTAGCATTTTTTATTAAAACTTAATGAATTCCATTTTTAAATATTATCTTTTTATTTTCAGGAACAGGTTTTTCTGCGTCAGCATCTACAGGAGCAGTAAAATCAATAGGTCTAGTCACATCATCACAAAATGTAACATCATCTCAGGACATTACGAAACGAACAAACAAGCCACTTATGGAAAAGCGACGACGTGCACGTATCAATCAAAGTTTGGCCATACTAAAGGCACTAATTTTGGAATCGACAAAGAATCAGTCAAAAACCACAGATGGGCAAACCAAACACACGAAATTGGAAAAGGCCGATATACTCGAATTAACTGTGCGACACTTTCAACGGCATCGAAATCTCGATGACACAAGTAATACAAAATATTTTTATATTATTATTTTTATTTGTTTCTTAATAGTATACGTTTGTAGCTATTAATAAATACAGAGCCGGATATACGGACTGCGCCAGAGAGGTTGCACGTTACTTGGCCACGCCCGAACCACCCCCTTTGGGAAATATCCCTTCGCTGTCGGAACCGGGGTCAAAAGCACGACTTTTGCGACATTTGGACCAATGCATTGCTGAAATTGACATTGAGATATGTCCTCATTCGACAGCGACATATGCCGACAGTCCATCCAGCAGTTGTTACGATATCAACACTGCGCCAAAGAAACCGTAAGTTTAGTTTTATTTTAAAATATTTATCTTTATTAAGACGATTACTAATATCTTCTACAAAGGCCACGTTAAAGCTATACTTTGTTAGTTTCTTATATATTTGTCGTCTCCAATTTATTTACCTTTTACTTTTCAGTCAACCGGACGATAACTCGTTGGACTATAGTAGCCAAGACTCAAACCCATTAGATTTCAGTAAAGCCGCTTCAAATGTTTTAACATCCAAAGCAAATTTTGTTAGTCCTGCTGGGACGCCCGTAGCACATTCCACAAATTCACCCTGTTCGGAGCGCCTAGGTTCACAAGTAATTATATGCAATATCTTTAAGACCACGTGAAATAACTTTCGGATTTTATTATCTACGCAGGATGAGAACAATAATCCCGATGGTCCTCAGGGTAGTACAGGATCGAGTAGAAGTGATGCAAATATGCGGCCAATGATTTCTGCTGGCGATATACCGAATATAGTCGACATCAATGCTGTGCAGAATTTTGAAGAACGCAGTAAAGTGAGAAAGCGTCTACAATATATTCAACCCAAAACATTGATAAATTAATTCTCTATATATTTATTTACACAGCTATGTTCTAATGTATTGGACACATACAAACATCTTAAAGTAAATGACCCAACAGGAATCCTTGTGCTTCCCCCACACTATGTTCAATTAGCAGCAGCTTTGGGTCTAAATACCCATCCCGTCATGGATGCAATCACCACTCGCACAGATTTCGAACGACTGATCGAAATGAATCACGTGCCTCCACTATCAGCTCAGATTGCCGGCAAACTTAGCACATACGGATCTCTACCCGGTGCTTTAGAGGCAGCACATGCCGCTGCTGCCTATGCAGCCACTACTATGGCGGCAAAAGAAAATGGTATTCAGGCTGCTAGTACAGCATCGCCAGTGATTGGTAACATCAATATGGAACGTCCCGCCTCTGTGCTCTCCAATGCAACTTCTGTTGCTTCAACCTCTGTCAGCTCTATGACATCAACCGATTCGCAGAAGAATGCCACACAACAGCAACATCAGCTAGCCCGCTTAGATGTTAGTGCAGTATCGACAGTGGAAGCAGCACAATTGAATATGGTTAGCAATCCGCTTTCGGCAAATATTGCAGCTGCAGCTGCGGCAGCAGCAGCAGCAGCCCAACACCAGTTGCATCTACTGCGACCCAATGAGGCTCTAGCACGGCAAGAGCAACAGCCACAAGATGAAAATATGTGGAGACCATGGTGAGACGAGCAAATATGAATGTTACTTCAAATGCAGAATTCAAAGCTTAAAACGCGTGACATTGTAAATACCAAAGATTTCTTATATATACAACTTTATATATTTAAAGTTAGGTATGTAAGTTATAAACAAATATGTTTTCGTTAATAATTTAAAGACGTTTAGCACCGTCTTATACATACATAGGTAATTAACAGCATATATTGTTACATTCTTATCGGAAGAGGTAATCAGCGTTGTATATTATATGGTATAAAAATTATAACGCAGCATCTTTCCTAGGAACTCGTTTGGATAATTGTATTTCTTTTTATTATTATATTTTCAAGATTATGACGTACTTATTAAATAGCTCGAAAATTTAAAGATTAGTATACACAAAAAAACAATTAGTTCGAGGGAAAATCGCATCACTTGTATTTTCTTAATGAGTAATTTAAATATGCTTCTTGTTCTTCGAATTTGTTTTTAATATTATACAGCACTTTCTAAAAAGGAATGACAGTTTGTCGAATTAGACTTCATCTTAATCGCTGAACGCGTTTTCAGGCAATTGTTGCATTCGCGTATTTTTCCAGTAAATACTATTTATGAAACGTGACATCATTTATTTCGCGAGCATCTTGTTTTGGTAAACACTTGGGTTTTTTTAGACACATAGTTTTAAAACAAAAACAAAAACGCAGCCTTATGTCAGCAATAACGCACCGAATATTCTTTTCCAATGCGTCAATCATCTCGGGCTTGTCTGTCTAGACAATTGACTTTATATAACCCCACAACAAATAGTCCAGCGGTGTTAAATCGCACGTTCTTGGAGGTCACGACATAGGCCCACGACGCGAGATAACGCGCTCAACAACATAATTTGATTGTTTCGTTGACTGTATGGCATGTAATAATAATAATAACCCAACGATTATCCTCCTTCTACCCAATTAAAGCGAGGGGCGCAATCCGCATGCGTGCCGAATTAGCCGAGTTTTTAAGCGTCGAGAAAAAACTTCAACAGCTAAGATTTAAAATTACGTTATAATAAATTGTTATGATTTTATTTATTAAGAAAAAGCAATGTAGCAATAATCATGGCTCTAACTGTAACTGGCCGACTTAATTTTTGAAGAAGTATGAACCAATGATTCACCCTGCCCATAGAGTACATCAAACAGTGACTTTTTGAAGATGCAACGGCGTCTCAACAATGTCTTGTCGATTCTCCAAACCACTCCAAATGCAACATTTTTGTATATTAACGTACCCATTTAACGTTAAGTGAACGTTATCGCTGAACAAGATTTACATGTGAAAATCGAGATCGGTCGTCATCTCGTTTTGAGCCCATTGACAGAACGTGCGACGCGCTTGATGGTCGTTCGGCTTCAATTCTTGCACGAGTTGGATTTTGTAAGCAAAGAAATATCCTCCCGCGAAATCTACCGTAAGTGAACTCACTCTGGTCTTCTTCGATACCACTAAATTAAAAGTGGTGCGAAACCGATTCATGGTTGCTCGAATTACCGATCAGTACCGCGCGTACTGAACCATTTTTTAGTAAAAAAATGTGCACTATTTGCAAACGTTGTTTCGTAGTAAGTCTATTCGTTTTGAAATGGCAAACCAAAAGTATTGCCTCCTTGAAAACCACACGTCTAAAAAAACACTCATTATCTTACAAAAGAATTTCAAACTATACACAATACCGTATGTATTGATCCATATGTAAGATATCTTAGCAAAGTTACGTAAAACCGTGAAACCGTAAAAACCGTGTAAAATGTTTGAAATCGGTCAACAAATTACCCCAGCTGTCTTATACTACATACCCACAATGATTTTCGTTTTCTAGCCATCATGACATATATACATATGTCATATAGTCATAATCATGGTACGCGAATGCAACTAGAAAACTAATTTACAAAAACCTCATTTAGTATGTTTCAAGTTTTGTTATGACTTAAGTCCGTATTTTGTAAATGTTTATAATTTGTGATCTGTAGCTATAATCATTTGTGACCCAATGTAGACTTGTTTAAAATTTAAGAGGAAAAACATAAATATATATAAAATGTATGTACATATACCATAAGTATTAATTAAATTATGAATGTGTTATATTATTGTATATGATTAATTATTATGAATAAGCAATTTTGTGTTAAAAATCACCAAAGGATATGTTATCTGCATTTATAGTTGCTTGTACATATGTACATATAAACATTTATGGGCATAATTTATAATTATGACAATCTAACTGTAAATGACCGTTGCTTTATGTTTAATATTTATTTTCAAACAACTTTCTAATCATATATGAATATACTATATGTACATATGATTACATATTTGAAATTATTTGCTGTTTTTGTATTAATTTTAAATTCCGGAGCTATATATTATATGTATGTAGTATTGATATCTGAAAGATAAAGATACTTGCAAAATACAAAGGCATATATGAATAAAACGTGTGTTTACAAATATGTTATGAACAAGCTAGACTATATATGTTAGCTTTGTATTTACATATAAACGTGCCAGTGCCAAAGAGACTAGTACATAAAATAGATATAGTCATATATATGCATATACACAACTTTATTTGCGGCATACTAGCATAAACATATGTGTATAAGATATTAAATTGAATGTATGTAATATAAAAAAAAATAAATTCTTATTTGTCCAAAAAATTATAAGCAAAATTAATGTTGAAAAGCGGCTTCTAAAAGATATAAACCCTAAAATTGGAGGATAACTGAGTCTTTGTTAAAAGAAATCAGAATATTATAGACGAGTTTTAACTTTTTCGTCATCGTTTCAATGCTTAAAACAGGGTTGTAATTTTTATGATTCAAAAATTTTGTATTAAAAATAATATTTTCATTTTATAATCGCAACATCTGGGAATGTGGGAATTTTTCTATTTTTATTTGTCTGATTTTGGGTTTAAAAATTTAATATTCTATTTATAATGTTTTTTATTTTAGTTACGCATACGTTTTCGCGAATTATGAAGTTTCTGCTTTAGTTGCAACCGAGACGAATTCATAGTTAGTTCAAATTGAATTCGCTTTAGCCGTTGCGACAAAGTATTATCCACAATGTCTTGCCAGAAGCAAGAGAAAAAGTTATCGTTGTCAAGTGCTATATCATTTATATTTATATATATTTATATAAAATAATTAACTTATCGGTGTTATCTTACCAAACCCAGCAGCAACCACAGACAAGGCTTGGTTTATTACTTCCAGGATATCATTTGAGGTAAGGGTTCATGAACGTACGTATAGTTTCTTGGCACGATTGCGATTACTTTGGCGCAGCGATCTGAAGGTATGAACGGATAAAGCTGTTCCTCACGATTAAAAAACTTTTCGAGGTATTTGTTTTTAAAGTTGAAAAATTCTAAAGGTAATGCACGCTCTTTCATATGTTTAACATACTGCTACTCTATCCGTCCATACCATCAGATCGCGGCGCCAAAGAAATCGTAATTTTGCCTGTTTCTTTATGCACTTCTCCAACTATTGCGTAAAATGTAGGGATTTGCAATTTAAATTTTAGGAACTATATTTAACAGGCCTTCAAGGAAGTGCTTGCAGGTCTTGGGGCGAAATGTCGTAAAATCCGTTGTTGTTGCTGTTGTTGGCGATTAAATCGTAGCCGAAAGTCGCACAATAATCTTAAAAATATAAGAATATTTAAAATTTCATTCACACTCCTAAAAACAATTGGTATCATCAGCGGTTGGACAACCCTTCAAATTATTTGAGGTATGCTGTCGAATTGACAGTTCTTGACCTGGCAAAAATCAAATTTTCCAATGAATATTTAGTATTTTTTGAACCCTTTTTCTACTCAGTTTTTTATACCCTGAACAGGAGGAAGGAAACGTCGGAGACTATTTAAAATATATACATATGTAAATAAGCAGCTTGACGAACTGAGCCGATTCAGCCTTGTCCATCTGTCTGTCCGTCTATATGTATACACGCAAACTGGTACCTCGGTTTTTGAGATATCGATCTGAAATTTTGCACACGTCCTTTCCTTAGATAAAAGCTGCCCATTTATTGGAACCGCCGCTATATTAATATAATGATAATGATAAAAAAAAACTGTTAAATATGACAAGCTATCTTTAAGAAATTTGGCATATGTTATTATTCAAGGCGTCGCTACAATCTCCAAAGAAATTGTTCAGATCTCATAACTATAACATATTGATGCCATGCAAACTGACTGATCAAACTCAAGTCCTGGTATGGAAAACTTTCTCCTTTCTTATTTGACAAGGATTTTGTTCACGAAATGGCATGGATTGTTGTTCAAGACAACGATACAATCTTGTAAGGAATTGTTCAGATCGGACCTCTATAGCTTAAATTGAACTTGAACTTTTAGAACTCTTCTGCACTGGCGTTAATGTGGGACACAACAAAATTTCTATTATCTTTGAAAAAAAAACACAAATACCATATAAAAGAATAATAAAAATGTAGTTAATATTAATATATATTTTTAATACTTGTGAATGTATAATATAATTAATACATCCAATAATATTGAAATGATGAATACATTAAATATGTTCATGTAGGTAACAGGGTACAGATAAGATCTGCTTAAAGAATTCAAAAGTCGACATATTTTAATTATTTCTTATTGGCAAATTTTAACTTTGCTTTGTATAAAACTTGTGGAGTTTTGTATAAATAATTACGTTAATGCATGTCCAATATAATTATAAAAAATGAGTACGCAAAATATACGCTCATGTTTCATATGATATTAAATCATCACTTCTAACTATTCATACAATTTAATGCTCACATCTTGGCTACATGTATGCTTGGGGTATAATTCCCATTTAACTTGAAGAAATATAATAAATATATAAATGATTTTTATTTGTTCTTGAATGTCGTTAATGATTTTCGGGGAGCAGATTGGCGTTGCCGCGCTAAAAATGTCTGCCCCTGTCCCATTAGTAATGCCAGTTTAGCATCAATTGCATCACGTTGTGCATTTACGCCCAATCTGTAAAATAAAATATCAAATACAGGTTAACAAAAACAATGCATATAAAGCAATTGCAAAAGCAAAGACCTATAGAAAGCCGTTGTCATTAATTGCTCCTCCAACGCACTCATTCCTGCTTTTGGTTCTTCTTCAGAATCCTGCGACCGCTCAAGCATATTTACATCGATAACTGTGTAAAAAAAAATTTATTTTTTTATTGAATTCATCAGCTTCAAATTAGCATACCATTGGCAAGTCGTGGATCAAGACTTTTTATTACTTCCTTTGCTTTATCCACACATTTTCTGTATTTCGCATCACAAGCCAAAAGATCTTGTTCACGAGTGGTGAGTGTATTTTCCAACTGGGTTATCTTATTTTGCAAGGACACATTTTGAGAAACTGATTCCTCTAGTTGTAACGCTGTAAAAATTTTATTAGTTAAAAAAATATTACTCTTAAAGTTAAGAAATTGTGTTTTACTTTTTTGTTCATTTAGTTCCATTAGTTGCTTAATTTGCTTGCCAAACTCAAACCTGATATAAATAAAAAAAGAAAAAACGTTAACTTCAGTTGCACCGAAACTTTAATACCCTCACAAAAAAACAAAATTTCAATACAAGAACTTCATTTTGATGGTTCGATCTAAAAAACTTGTTCAGAGATTATTACGCTGCTTCGGACTATAATCCATGCCTAATTTCGTGAAGGTATCTCGGTATATATAAAGAAAAAATGGGCAGGCATACTTGTGAGGGTATGGACAAAACTTACTCTTTGAGATTTGGATCTCCACTCTGTGAAGCATGTGACAGTGATAGTATCCGCTCATTGGCTAACCTTAATTGTTCGCGTAAGTTATCATTGCGTTTATTTGCGTCATCCAAAAGTTGCTGTATACAAGAGCTTTTTAATGCTGACTTGTTATAATAATATAGTATAGGTTTACTTACCGTTAGTGCTGTTTGCCCACCTTGACCTTCGCGCAAAGCCTTATTTTCTAATTCCAAACGGTGTACCTTTTCTACAAGTGCGGTAGGTTGTAGTTCTTTTGACATTGTGTTTCCATTTAAGCCTTAAATAATAAATGTTTCATTAAAACAAGAATAAAATGTAATTTAAAACGGATTTTTAAAGTAGTTTTACTTACTTCCAGAACTTGTTGAAAGTTGTCCACATTTAAGTTCGTCTAAAGCTTCGCGCAGATTATCCCGCTCCTTGAGTAAACTTTCCTTAGCACGTTGCAATGCACAGATATTGCTTTCAAGATTTTTATTATCAAACTCTAATTTAACATTTTTACTCATTTCACTATCAAGTTGTGCATGTAGGTCTTGAATCTGCAGCCAAGAAATGTTTTTTATTACACTTACATACAGATGTTCTGAGAATGAATATTGTGTAATTAATATAATAGTATACCTTATTTTTAAAAAGTTCCACTTGCCCCTTGAGGGTTGCAGATTTTTTTGCATCTTCTTCGAATTGCACTATTTGCTGAACATAGTCAGCACTTCTTTCTTCTAAAATTTTAATATGCTTTTTCAAATCGTTATATTCTTCCAAACGTTTCTTGTAAGTGTCTAACTGTATTTCACACTCTTTCAATTTATCATTGGATTCTCTCAATACATCAACTTCATCCTTCAGTTGCATTAATTCCGAAGTACTTTTCTAAATATAAAAGGGTAGAAAATAAATAAATAATATAAGCAAAATAATATTTTTTATAATTTTAATCGTATTACTTACTGTTAGTTCATCAATTCGCTGTTGCATGGTTTGCATTTCTTTCTCCTGCTGTTGAACTTTTAATTTTAAATCTTCTCTAGTGGCATCTGACTGTAAGAGTTCTTCCTTCATACGGTCGAGTTGTCGCCTAAGTTCGGAATAACGCACAGATCCTGCTTGCACAGGGCCGATAGAAACTCCATCGTCTCCAATTTCAGATTTTGAAGATTGTATACGTTGAATTTCGAGCTGCAATTTTGCAAGCTCTTGCTGCATGTTCGATTTTTCTTCTATTAGCAATAGATTCTAAAAGTTACATTTTTTGTTAAAATTAATTATTAAAAAAAAGAATGTATTTCACATACCTTTTTTTCGGCTTCGAAACATTTTTGAGCTAATGCGTCTCTTTCTTCCTGTAAAATTTTATTATCGAAATTTGTTATGCTCTGCGACGTACGCGATGGGAAATCTCCCTGCCATGTTGATTCCAGATCTTGTAAAGCACGCATTATGTTAGCTTGCAATGATTCTTCCAAACACATAATTTGTCGTATATAATCTTGTCCTGCGCCACAGTTAACAGCACATCCAAGAATAAGTTGTAGCAGACGTTCTAATTCGCCAGCATCACATTTTTCGGCAATACGCTGTGCATCGGGTCGTGGAAAGTCCGCAAGCGAGTAACTTAATACGTCACTATAATAATCATACACTCCTTCAACAACTTTTTTCAAATTGCTCATCTTTAAACGCCAATTAATACCCGAGTTAATTTTCGACAACCACGAACCTAAATGGCCGTCAATTAAAAATTGTACATATATTATATACTTAATAATTACAGACCAGTGAAAACATCCGGAGCAAATTGATTTAATGCCTGTGCGAGGGCTACTCCATCAGATAGTTCCTCTAAAAATATAGTTTAAAAAGTGTA